GCTCGCAAGTTAACTCACCATCCTCAATTACGCTTGCAATCATATCATCATATGAACCATTGCGACGTAACACAATGGGCATTGTCTTCTTACTAAAAGATTTCCAATTTCAGCTTTTGGGAGTCTCCTCCCATACTCCCATATGATCACCACCAGCAACAACAAATTCAACTACTGTCATTATAAACTACAAATAAAGATACTAGATTACAGTATCAATCTTTAATGAACGACAAGGTACAAAATTCGTACAAAAACGTGATTGAATAAGATTGGGGTTCAATATTCAGCTCGTGCAATGGCGAAACGTATTTTTAATGTTTTTAAACTACTTAAATGTATCTACTAATGAGTTATCAAGTGATTATGGAAGATTTCTCAAGTTTCTAAAATGGCAGAAAAATAATTAATTTGAATCTTGGTTTTTGAAAGAAAATGGAGTAAAATGAAAATAGAGGAGATGATGATGATTTTACTTTGAAATGAATATTATGGCCGGAAAACTCATCGGAATCGATAAAATTAGCAGCAAAACGAGCTGCTTGTTGGAGATTTTTTATTTTTCTAATATGATTTTAAACATTGGAAATAGATATATTATTCCATATTTGTTGGAAAAGAATAGGGGACCAAGTCGTGATTGAGCTGTATGGCAACTCAGAAAGCCATACCGTAGCATCACTTGTCAACGAGAGTGGAAACACCCTTAAGCCAATCGCATCCATGTCTAAATATGGTCGCCCTACACTACTCAAACAGACACTTTTCAATTTGCTCATGTGAGCATATGGATCTTCTGAGGGTAACCCAACAAACAACCCTCTATCCGTAAGCATTTGCATCAAATTGTTGGTCATACAAAAGTGTGTCCGGGAGGTAATGGAGGGACAACTATAGCACCGGTCGATCCCACAATATTATGATCAACCCTATAGTTATCTCAAACACCCGGTGCCGGCTGATTTTGCACTCCTTCCGCACTTTCAACTCATGGGTTTCCCTCAACATGACCAGGCACGTCCAAGACTCTAGGAGGTTGCAAACCAGCTTCACCCCCTTGACCCGCTCCGATTGGAACATTTTGTACCTCGAGATTTAGGCCTCTTCCAACCATTCTTCTCAGAGTTCTCCTTAATTCCGGATAGGGAGTCAGGGGATTGCCTTGACTCCGTATACTTGGCATACACTAGAGATAAGACCTGTAGAAAACAAAAATGTAAAATCAAGAAATACTTTACTAAAGTTCAATAACTAAATTAGTCTAATCTAAAAGTCGTATTCTCCGACAGCGGCGCCAAAATTTGATACGCCCAAACTATACCTCCCTTAAGAAGTATAAGCGATCGTTGTCAAATAAAGAACCTAATTTTTAGGTTAGGGTCGATCCCACGAGGAATATGATCTAGACTTAGGCTAACTTACAATTATCTACTTTTAGTCAATTTACTTCCGACAAAGGGGGATTTGTAAATAAAGTAACAATTGATTGATTTGTAGTAATGAGTAATCACAATTCTCCTCCAATGGCTCATCATCACATTCTAGAGGCTCTCCCCTTCTCATGAGACAAGAAACATTCGCATTTTCCTCCAACTTCTTTTAATCACCCTCCAAGGATTCTCCGTCGTACTAAATCTTAGGGTCATCTTCCTCACTCTCCACATCACACTCCTCCTTATCATCGGAATGATACCTATCACGTAGTGCAACACTTGACCTCCTATTGGGACATTCACTTGCGATGTGTTCTCTATCTTGATATTTATAACATTGAATAGAAGGATAAAGAAACTTAGGTTTTGAATGATTACCTCTTTTAGCTTTGTCGTCCTATTTTGCTTTATAATCTAGTCTAGCTTTGGTATCTTGACCACTAACTTTTAAGTGCTCGCGAATGGATGAAGATTTCCATTTGTCATTAATTTTGCCTCATGAAGAAGTTGAGGTACTCTTTGCCTTTTAACCTCTCTTTGCTTTCAAGTCTTCATCAACCTTAGAAGCATCATGAAAAGCTTCTTCTAGGCCCCAATAATGTTGGAGATGTCAAGTGTCAAGTTGGCTACAAATCTTATCACTGTATAGCTCAAATGCTCTTCAATCTTGGTCTTCATCCTCAAGTTTTCAATAGTACTCCTCAACGTTTTTGGTGCCTTGTTGGAGCATGTACACCTTCTCGAGAACCTCTTGATAATAGTTAGGTTTCACTACCTCGACTCCATGCATGATCTCTACCAGCTTTTGCCAAGTAGGCAAGTCATAGCCCTCAAATTGAGTAAGGGATTTGTTTTGTCTAGGGGTGTACATGATCGGGTTGGTTCGGGTTTTTCAAATATCAAACCAAACCATTTGTGTCGGATTTTTAAATCTATAAACCAAACCAAACCAATAAAACTCAAGTTTTTCAACATCGGGTTTTTTCGGATTTTTTGGATTTTCGGGTTTTTTTGGTAAAGTATTCATACAAATATATAATTTACTTTGTACTTCAAATATTTCTTTAGTCCTACCAAAATACAACTATCGTCTAAGGTGTTTCTTAAGAAAATAACACAAAATATCATATGAGTAATGACACTAAAATATCTAATAAAATAATAATAATAATGAAATCGCGTAAAACAAATATTGCAAATTAACAAGTCATAATGAAAATGATCATAATTTAAAAGTACTAAATCACGCTAAAATAAATTTAATAAGTATTAGTTACATGACTAAATATTAAAGGAATTAAAATTAGATTATGTATTTGAATTGTCTAAACTAATGTAAAACCAAAGAACAAATATTCAATATTATTGTCATTCTTAGTGTTGAATTGATTTTCTTTTTGCATTAGTATTAATTTGATTTTGATTTAAGCTTTATTATAATTATCAACATATGTGGACTATAATCTTTATTGAACCATTTAGAATTCTAAGTTTTAAACTTGAAATAATATATTAAAAGATAAAAACTATGAAAAAGTATAAAAATTATATCAAAGTAAATATTTTATGTATAAAATAAATTTTAAAATTATATATATAATGTCGGATTGGTTTGGTCTTGGGTTGATTTTTTTTAGTTAAAACCAAACCAATCCAAATATAGTCGGGTTTATTTTCAATACCAAACCAAGTCAAACCAACCACTAGTCGGGTTTTTTTTCTTGGTTTGACTCGGTTTGCGGTTTGGTTCGGTTTTGTACACCCCTACTTTTGCCTTCAAAGCATCTGAGATGTTATTGGTGAAGAAGATCCTCTGACTTAGTTGCTTCCACTCAAGGAACTAATCAAATCACTACTACCTTTGAATTTGGGAAGATTGACTGTGATGGTACTGAAACTTCAATTTTTGGTCACCTCCATCACCGCACCTTTCCATCTTTAACCTTGTTTCCGACCAAAGCCTCTAGATAGTACCCTATCCCTAGGTGCTACATTGTCATTCCATACCCCATGTTAGGGTCCACCCCACCATCTATTTGTTGTAGCCTCATCATTCATGTCATCATAAAAGGGTTTTGGAATTGGTTATCTAGGTAAAACTCTTGTTAAAGGTTTTGCGGATGTAGAAAGGGTGGTACATGCAAAGGTGCATGTGGAACAATTAGTAGAGCTGCGGGAGATGGTACTAGTGGTGCCACAAATTGAGGCGTTCCTCTTGTGAGGGTGATTTGGATGGGGAGTGTCTTGCCTCACATAGGCATGAGGGTTAAATGTTTGGGAAGTAGGTTGATGGAAGGTTTGAGGTTATATGGGAGTAGGTAGGGGGAAAACAATGTATGTACTTGACCAGTGGTAAGAGTAGTCGTATCACTCAAATCTCTGTTTTTCCCTACACCATGAATGGTTTGAGGCAAATTCTCTCGACTCACATTCTTAACTTGGAGGTGATACTAGTTGTTTTTGCTTTTTTTTGGTAGACCTTACAATGTTTCCTTGTTTTATCTGCTATATTTTCTTCAGTGTCTCTTTCTTTATACTTGAATTTGTTACACTTGAGCCGAAGGTCTTTTGGAAACAATCTCTCTACTTTCATGAGATAGTGATGAGGTTTCTATACATTCTATCCTCCCCACTTATGGGATTTCACTGGGTATGTTGTTGTTGTTGTAGTTTAAGATGTCTTACAAATAGAACCCGCAAAACAAAGAGTAGGCTCTACAAACAACTTAACTGCACCGATTTCAAAACAAATTTGCATGGTCCAAGAATCATTTTTAAAGCTCAAACTTGAATCATTACAACTTTTGACAACTTAATTGTTTTCAACATCAGAGCTACTCAATTGCAACAACTTAACGTTTGTTTGTTGCGACAGATACGTCTTAAATTTGTCTTATCCATCATATTATCAAACTGACACTTAAGAAATTGTAATTACTCTGCTTAGGAAGTATGATTTATTAGATGTTTGAGATGGGAGAATAATCTTTCACTGGTTGAGCAGAAGTTTTCATTTCTAAACAAAAATTGTCACCTTTTATAATAAAAGCACTTGCTATACAGGCCTGGAAATGGAGGCTAGATCCCTCCCTAATAAGTCAATTTATAACAAAAACTCTTGCTGCACAACATACTACCACGTCAAACACCTAAATTGAATAATTTGAGTGTAAAAACTTGTTTGGCCAAACTTTTGAAAGGTCAAAAGTGCTCATCTTATAAAAAAAAAAGAGGTGTTTGAGTAACAATAGTTGTTTTTTATGAGCTAAGAAATGTAGATTTTCACCTAAATAACTATTGAGAAAAATACATTTTACAAGGACTTTGCAGAAGTTTTGCCTAACACGAATTGCTGCTGAAAAATGCTTTATAAATTTATTGGTCAAACACAAACTACTTCTCACCAAAAGTAATCTTTTGAAAAGTGCTTTTCAAAATAAACTAATTTCTAAAGCTCGGCCAAACAAGCTATAAATCACATCAAGACAATGGGAATTCTCCCATCCACCCAAGTATGAGACATAGCAGCTTCGACCTTTAAACATTGCTAGGTAAAAGCAGTTGCAGAATGATTTATTTTTGGATGAAATAAACAAGTGTCCACACTATGTTTTCTTCTTTTTTCCATATCATTTATAAATAAATGAAGAGTCGCATCGATACTCTTTCAGGTGGTGCTGAGGATCCAAGTATTCTGTCATACTTCAACATGTTATACAAGCCAGAGTGACACATTTAACTAAGCCACACATAACCATTGATAATATCTTTTTGCTTAATCCACCTGGACCATCGATGAGTGAGAGCATATCACCTGTCAGCATTCATAAAGTTCTTCCTTGGACCATCCAGGATTGTTCCAGCGTTAGCATAACTAACTGAAATGAAATAAAGGATGAAAACTACAGTAAACACAATGTTCTGGAAAAAAATTGAGTAGACAAGCGCGACAGAAAAGACACCCACAAGCCCTAGTTGTTGAAGCTAATGACAGGGCCAGATGAACGTTTTTCTTTTAGCTATAGCGAGAACCTGCCCATGATCATGTAGGTGTCAAATCTGCAACAACAGCAACCAATTTTGGAGCCTTTAGTTTGAGCAAAGTAGCATGGGGTAATAGATAAATTAAATGTGAACACACTAAAAATTATGTCATGCTTCATACTACATAAAAATTACAGTTAACAAACTTCAGAAAATAATGGCACATATGTCAAATAAATAACTTGGCTCATGCAGGGTTGTCCATTCAGGTTCAGTTCATTTGCTGCTATCTAACAGGTATATGCAGTTAGCCAGTTAAACCATCAAGAAGATGTCTTTTACTTTCATTGAATCTTTTCTTTTTCCTCTTCTTTTCTTTTTAGCAAAGCATCTTAGTGCAATCTTTATTGAACATAGATACTTACCATCATTAGACATGGAAGGAGACAATAGGATGAATCAGATTTTAAATGCCACAGGATAAAAAGTATACAACTCTGTCTGTCGGCCATCACATGGCAGACAGACAAGATAAGAGCAAAGAAATTGATGTTCAACAGGGATGGCAAGAGAATAGTGATTGAAAATACAAGGAAAATCATCATATATAAAAAAGAAAGGGAATAAATACACAAAGGGCGTGAACTTCAAACATAGGCAAGTACCATTAACAATGATGGCAAGGAAGCTAATGGAAGCTTAAATGCATGAAAAGAAATTGGTATTAGAGAATAATTCTATCTTTTATTTTTTTGTAAAACAGAAATCATTATGCTCGATGTATAGTGTGGATGGACTAGTCATTCAAAAGTATGGCATAAATGTATACCAACTGTATATGAAATCCTGTCAATCCTTTTTTCACTGACCCGGAAAAGCAAAAATAACTAGATCTTTACAATTTCTCTCGAGCACAGCAGTTCATTGGACAAAAACAGGGGTAATACAAAGATATTTTTCTTTCACCATAACATCAACTTCTTCCATATAATTGAAATGATACAAACACCTCATTTAGTATAAATATTGAAAGATGGGACAAACCAAAAAAATTTATGTTATTCACTAAAGCAAGAGATAAAAGAATAAATCGAACAAAGGCCACTCATGAAAAGTTAAACACCCATCCGATTGTAGATGTCGTTAGACCTCAAAACACATTCCCTATGTATTTTCCAGATAACTTATGGTTATATGCATTTGCACATCTAAAAGATAAAATTCCTACTTAAAGATATAATATCTGACTTCAAAATGCAAAAGCTTAAAAAGGGAAAATGTCCATAGGCTTCTCATATTCTGCTACAAAACAAAATTCCTGCCATCATCTTTCAGAGAAATGTGATTCAGAAATTCTAACCTGTAACCAGAAGCAAAATTGCAGGAATCAGGTAGCAATGGGTGTCTTTTTCTTCCCTTTCTTGCTGTCAAGTGTTGTTTCCTTTCCGAGTATCATTCTTCTTAGAATATCTGCTTGCTTTGTGTTTCCCTCATCATTAAGGCTCTTAATTAACTCTTCACAACTCTTGTGATCTTTAACTCCTCCATTTTCCATCATCTTGCACAAAATAGAATAGGCATTAAGTGTCTTCCCAGCAGCTAAGAGAGAATCCAGCACCTTATCATAGCTTGGAAAGTCTATGCTACAATTTCTTTCTAAAATGAAATCTAACAGCTTCAGAGCAGCAGAAGTCTTTCCTTTCTCACATAGAACTGACAAGAGACCATCAAGATCAGGTGAGAGACTGTTGTGTAACAACAATTCAATTCTTCCGAGGGCCTCCTCAACATGGCCCCGCATGAGGAGGGCTTCCAAGATAGTAGAAATTAAATCCATGTGTTCTTTCACTCCCTTCTCCAACATGATTTTCATCACTCGACTTGCTGTTTGAACCCTTCCATCTCCCATCAGGCTCTTCATCACTGATCTATACAACAATGAGTCCGGGTCATGTCCATGTTCAAGCATATTGTCCAGAGCAGCTTTAGCATCAGCAGGCTCCCCTTTCTTCAGATAGCTCTCAACAAGTGATTTGTGAGCAATACCGTCAGAAAGAACCTTTCTTCTGCCCATAATCTTCAACAGTTCAAAGGCCAAATCAGGAACCCCTTCCCTTGAGTGCCCACAGACAAGATTGTTAAAGGCAATAGGATCTTGAACCCCAGTTTTCATCAACTGTCTAAAAAAAGTTTCAGCCTTGCCTGTCTGGCCATTATTGCATAGGTAGTCAATAATCAGGTTATATGCACTTGGTTCCATAGACGAACTACTCTGTGGTCGCAGGACGATTTCTTTCTCAATAAGCTTATCCAGAAATTTGATAGCTCGATCATAGATACCAGCCTTGCAGAAATTCTCAATTAGGACACCATAATGTCCAGCCTCAGTGGGAACACTTAACCTGATCATAGTTTTCAGAACATCAGCTGCAGCATCTAAATCACCTGCCTCACACTGTCCAGATATTAACCTTATGAAGATAGAGTTATCCTTGGGTGCAATATACTTATCTTCCATCTCTTTCAAAATCGTTCCAGCTTCAGACATTTTCTGAGCATCACAAAGCCCTGGTAACAGTGTCGAATAAGTAATAGCATTTGGTTTAATACCGAAACTCTTCATCTCTTCAAACAATCTCACTGCATCATCTATTCGCTCAACCGCACTATATCCTTTAATCAGTGTTGTATAACTGATGACAGTCGGCTCTATATTTCTTGCTTTCATTTCCACAAAGTACTTCTCCGCTTCTTCTATTTTCTTCACCCGAATATATCCATTAATCATAGTATTATAAGTTACTACATCAGGCATAATCCCCTTACTCTTCATATCCTCAAAAAACCTAATTGCAGTATCCACCTTTGACGATAAAAAGAATCCCCAAATCAAAAGATTATACGTATGTCCAGTCGGTTCAATACCCTGATTAACCATCTTATTAAAGTACCTCTTGGCCATCATATATCGTCCTCGACGAGTTATCACATTAAACAAAGCATTATAAGATTTAACAGTCCTTTCAACACCTAACTCTTCCATTTTCTGAAACAACTTAACACTCTCTTGAACAATCCCAGCTTTACCATAACTATCAATCATCAAAACCCATAAATCCTCATCCCAATCAACACCCTTATTAGGCATATCAAGGAGTATACACCTAGCATGATTAAGCTTTTCAGCTCTACCAAGAATTTGAATAATCTTGAAATGGGTTTCTCTATCATGCCTAAAAAGACCAGATCTTTCAACCCACCTGAAGAACTGCAACGCATGTTCAGAATTTTTCGCACTGTGTAGCACATTGTAAACAAGTTCATGATCGAATGAAGGAACAATATTTCTAATGGAATTCTGTAGACGTGTAGTCCAGGCACGAGTAGACATCATTCGGCAAATGAGATCTTCTAGTTTTTCTTGGGGTTTAGGACTGTTACCTTTTGGAATTCGATCATGATTGTTGAGAGATTCGGAGTTGTAGAAGAAGATTGTTGATCTTAGGCATAATGGTGTAGGCGAAATTGTGAGGAGCTTCTTCGGCTTGAAAATGGTTGCTCTTGAGGCACACAAAGAAGCCATTTTTGGTCCAATTTGATGTTTGTGCGATCTGTAAAATGGAGAAGAAATTAAACTTTGGGTATCATATTGAGAGATGTGGGGAGGCCGCAGGGTTTAGGGTTTTCCAACTTCTTCCAAGTCTTTTTTTCTTTTTCTTTATTTCTTCTCTTGACAATTCACACATTGCCCCCTACATTGTCATGTCACATACAACAATATATATTTAGAGTCGTTTGGTAGACTATATTAGAAAAAAAAATATATATATGTATTAATTCTGCGTATGGATAATATCATATTTGGTATATTTTGTATTAGTTATACATTCTATTATATATTGAGAAGGGTATTATTAATATCATGAATTTTTAGGTATTAATAATGCAAAGTGATTTAGAGCCTGTTTGGCATTATTGGGAGGCTAAAATTGTTATTTTTAAAAGTAGTGTTTGGCAAATTCTCAAAACTGCTTTTAAATGGAAGGAGAAGCAGTTTTTCTATTGTTGGGAAGAAGCTAAAAATTTTTGCTTCTTAAAAAAAGCAGAAGCAGAAAATTATTTTCTTGAAGATTAAAAAATATCCCTCCCATATATACATATTTACCAATATATGCCTTATTAATCAATTAACATCTATTATAAATTTGGTTAAGTTTCATACAAGATTTTTTTATATATATAATATTTTTTTATTTTATGTTTATACACTATTTTTATTTTATATTTTATATATTATTTAAGTCTTATTTTACAGAATCAGAAATAAATGTAACAACAACATTTTTATAGGGTTAAAAATATGAAGGGTTTTATTTCTTTTTGTGGTGATTTTTTTTGTATATAGTGGTTTAATTTGTGGAATAGTTTTTAAATTTATTTTTCTTGATATTTTAAATTATATTAAAGTTATCATGTTAATATTATATTAATATTTAATTAATTAATTTATGTATAATATTGATTGAAAATTTGAATAGCATATTTTCATTAAAAAAATTCTAATAGATATTTAAAATAGTTTCTCTCTATAAAATAATCTTAGTATTAAAAGTATATTGATACTTACCCTTTTTTGTAATTTGATTCTCAAAAGCACTTTTAAAAAAAATTTATACACGATTTGCTTATCAAAAGCATTTTTCAAATGAATTAGTTAAACACAAATTATTATTTTTCAAAAGCACTTTTTTTAAAAGTCATTTAAAAAAAGTGCTTCTAAAAATAAGCAGTTTTTAGCAGCAATGTCAAACAGGCTCTAAATACATGCATTGTCATGGTTAAAGACTCAATTACTCTTCAAAACACCTTTTACATCTTTTCCACCATAATTGTGGAGGATTTTTTTATAAATAATTTTTTATATACAATACATGATGTTTTTAATACATCAAACTAAACAATACATAAGAGATAATATGTGCAATTAATGCAAGCATAACTAATACAAGTATTACTAATGCACTATATTTAACGTTATTTTTATACATCTTATCAAATGACCTCCTAGTGTAAATGTAATTCATATATAAGATATGAACAGAATAGTGTGTACTAGAGCTATCAAATGAGTCGAAATATAAGTAATTCATTCAATTCGTCCAGAATATTATAGGTTGGGCTTAAGATCATTTAAATTTGGTCAATCTCAAGTCATTCTAGCTTTGGCCTATTTTAAAAGGATCTTCAATTGACCCCAATTCAATCCGTTTTTAGACTTTATATTTGCGTTGGTGAAATGTATTTTCTCATATTGAATGTATGAATTACTATCTATTTTATATCTTTTAGGATTTATCTATCCATTCTTTTCATTTTTAAATTGATATTTTGCTTTTCTTGATCAAACTAACTAAAAGAAATTAAACTATATTTTTTCATAGAATACATGTTGAGTGAGTCATATTAAATGTATGTTTATTTGGTTGGTATAATGTTTGGTGACTTTCCACTTCAAAATCAAGAATTTATTTTTTTATTTTCTCGAGTTGAAATTCAAATTGTGATATAAAAAAAATAGATATGACACCCTATATAACGCATATGCTAGTTATATTCAGATGACACTTGACATAACTTTATCGTATAAGTGAGGGACCATGTTTCGTATATGAGAAAGTGTTGGTTTAATATAGATTGAAGGTGTTGTAATTCCTTGCACGTTTCAACAAATACTTCAAGTTAACCTCGACGGAGTATTAAGCTCGAGATAGTAAGGTGGTGGTTGAGCTTAAAGTTAAAAGTTAAGTGTTAAGTCAAAGCAAAAGAGATTAATCTTTAGAAAATGAAATAAAATAGTGAGTAACTTGTTTGGCTTAATTAAGCTAACAGGTGTATCACCTACTTGAGCTATATGGATCTAGTTAAAGAGGTCAAGGTTAATGGATCAGATTTAGGCCTATCTTAATGGACTTATTCCAGGCCCAAACTAAGTAAGAGAAAAAAAGAAAATGAAAGAAAGCTAAACATTCAAATCCGCCAAGACCCTATGTAGTTAAGCCCAACTAAGAATAAAGCAAGTAGATGATGATTTTTTGAGCAGCTTGATCTAAACAAGTAGGTTCATCACCTACTTGATCAATTAGTGGCTGAAATGGAGCTAAAAGAAGGAAGATTCTATAGGATATTTTAATCATTAAGAAGGCTAACTATTTTTTTCACTCATTTTACCATACAAAAAATCATATTTAATTTCAACTTTCTTCAGTTCTCTCAAGGCTTAAAACTTCAACCTTAAAATTTCTCCTAGGGATCTTGAAGAAACCATCATTTTTGCAAGACAAAGTAAGTGAAAACACTTGTAAATTTAGCTTAATTCTCCCATGAAAGATTAGGAAAATATGTTATTCATGCTTAAGTATAAATACAAGGTAGAATGTTTTCACAAGATACTGCTCACATTTCTTGGTTATTAAGAGACTTTTCTCTTCTTCTTTGTTTTAGGTGTAAAGGGAAGTTGAAGTTCTTGAAAATTTCAAGTTAAAATTAAAGGAGAAGTTGCAGAAATTGAGATAAGGTAACTGCGTCATTTCTATCCTCCTTGTGTATGAGTTTGGATAAAGAATTATGAGTGTGTTGTTATTAAGAACTCAAGGGATGGTGATTTCAATATTTAATTGCTATGATAAAGAATATTTGGAACAATTTTAGTAGCTATTTTATGTGTATATGTGTCATGCCTTGAGACTGCTCCTTAACGCAACACAATGCTTAGAGCCTCAAGTGACCCCAAGTTATCCTCATGACATGATACTAAGATATCATATTAAGATTGAAAATACTGAATGCAGAAATAAGTTTGAATATGCTATCATATCACATAAGAAGAATCTGATAAACACATCGTAAACGGAAATAGCTATTTGTCCAAAAGCCTCTACCAATGCGAGTCATTTAAATTGATTAACAACAACAATGTAATTATTTATTACCTCCACAGCCTCTCTAATTACCTTCACGGCATTCCTGAGTACCTTCTCGTCCATTTTGTGGACGTCCTCTACCATTATTACCTCCTCTCGTTGGAATCATTATTCTAGTTTGTTGTTGAACCTGACCAACGATTTGTTTAAGGGGGCATTTCCTCAGTGTCTCAACTTAATTACTACAATTAAAACATTTGCGGTTGAGCGAGGGTATGTTAATTGATACATACAAAGTCACTTGACCGCCTTGAGTTAGAGATTGCTCTGGAACCCCTGAATGAAATCCATAGAAGTGGGTATAACTGACTGAATCGGACAAGCTGAATACAACTGTTGACTGGAACCTTTAGAATACAAACTACTATAGTTATCCACATTTCTAGAATTCTTAGACAATGTCTTGGCATGTCCAATTTGTCGAACTTTGATCCCTTTACTTTCTTCACATAGTCAGTCACTTCATTAAAGCTCTTACCTGCAGAGGTTATATGCACAAACAAAACTTGTAACTCACAATTCAAACCCTTGACGAACAAATGAATCCTCTCTTCCTCATTGTTCACCAACTATGTAGCATAATGGACAATGCATGAAACTTTGCCTCATAAGCAGTCGCAGTTATGTTGCCCAACTCAAGAGCTATAAACTCATCTTTCTTTCGATCTCATAGAGTATGAGGCACATGCTTCTCTAAAAATAAGGCATGAAACTGTGTTCAAGTCAATAGAGGTAAAATATGATAATCGACATTCCATAAAGGCACTCCACAACTGTTTAGCTTCACCTTGAAGATGGAAAGTCACAAACTTCATCCCATGTTGTTTCATAATATCCAACTTATAAAGCCTCTCACAATAGTTCAAGATGAATTCAAAGGCATCCTCACTCTCGGAACCATGGAACACAGGAGGCGTAAGCTTCAAAAACTTGGTCAGCATCTTATGTTCAGTGTTAGTCATCACATGATCAAGTTATGGACAGAAGAGAGAATTAGTGCCCGAGTCTTAGTCCATCTTAGGAATTACAATAGCAACAAGATGAGTAACTGGAACCTGAGTACCCTATACAGTAGGAATGTCTCCAGTACCTGTTAACCTGCTCAGAAAGGCTAACACTTGCTAAATCACACCAATGTGCATAAGGAGAAGACTTGTAACCCCGTTTTCACCTCTAGTTCAGCCTCATCCTCGACCTCTATCTCAACCTCTTCTTCCACATGATTCTAGGGTGGGGTGGGGCTGCCTCACACAGTACATTCTCTTCCTGAGTGTCACCTGTCAAGCCCCGAGCCTACACCCTGGATGTGGCTGGCACTCGAAGACCATTTTTGGCCCCAAGCGAACCCTTGGCCTAGCTTTCTTAACTCAGCGGAAACCTAACTCAACAGAATAAATCCATGCAATGCAAGAAACAACTTAACTGATAAAATCTGGCCAAAAAGGCAACTCGAGTCCCAAAATAGCATATTTTCATATATACATAGATAAGAGACTCAATTCTAACTGACTGACTGTCTATGAAGCCTCTATAATACTGAGATAGATGTTGGGACAGACCCCACAACATCCTAACAAAACAAAACTAGAAACACAAAATAACAGAGTCCTCCGGAATGCAAGGAGGCTCACCACTGACTCTGGAATGCTCAACTGGATCAACGGCGTGCCGGGTGCTGATCCCGGGTACCTGCATCTGCATCGTCATAAGATGCAGGCCAACTGACATCAGTACATTGAATGTACAAGTATACAAGCTGGAAAGCTAAGCAAC